ACAGCCATGGAGATAAACGAGGGGTTTTATATTACGCTGCCTTCCAATGCCAGTCTTGATGTATTTCAAAACAATACAAGCTCTAGCTACCAGGTAAACCTAGCACAACCTTTACATTTAGACGGTTCATGGCAGGTAGCCATGACAGAAATGTCGTACCCACACACTTGGTATAACTTACCTCTAGATGTAGCATATTTTGAATGGATAAAGAAATCAAAATCCCCCGAGATAGTGAGCAAGGTAAAGCTTCAAATGTTCAATGGGGGTTACTACAGCACCATAAGTCAGCTCAAGGCGGAACTGGAGTCCTGCTTCAGAAAAATTGATTCTGATGTCCATTTTTACTATAGTCCGATTCATCGGAAAATCGAATTTCAGGGTGGTGGACAACATCGTTTTCGCTTTCCAAAGCCCCTCGCCTATATGCTTGGAATAAAACCAGACCAGTGGATCAAATTTGATGACAAATCAGCAACCTACCCCGCGGATATAAATGCAGGCGCAACTCATCTCTACTGTTATAGTAACGTTGTCAGTCATCAGAGAGTAGGTGACGCGTTTGCTCCTCTCCTGAGAACCGTAGATATAAAAGGGACATTCGGTGATACCATCACCCAGTATTTTAGTCCTGCATATTATTTGCCGGTAACAAAAACGCATATCGAAAATATACAGATAGAGATAAAAAACGATCAGAACGAACCAGTAAAGTTTACCTACGGCAAGAGTGTAGTGAAACTTCATTTCCGACCTTCAAAAGCGGGGCAATCATTTGCAAAACGATGATTAATCAGGATCCGCAACGTTTTGTTAGCTACTATGAGAATCAGGCTGGAGGGTCATTGCCTGGTTTTTATGGAGCACCAGTTATGTACGGTCGAGGCATTGGTTCTATATTCTCAAGATTATTTCGTTTTGTAGCACCATTGGTGAGAAGGGGGTTTGCCATAGCTAAACCTCATCTCAAATCGGCGGCTAAAAATATTGCATCTGATGTAATCAGTAAGGCGGTCCATAATTTTGGCGGCCAATCGGATCACGGGTCTCAAGAAGGATCAGGGGGTCTGATGGTTTTAGCGAGAAGGGCCAGAAAGAGACCTCCAGGAAAACGGGTTCCGGCAGGCTTTAAAAAGGGGAAGCGCTCAACCAAGAGAAAATCATTAGGGAAAAAGCACCCACGAAGAAGGAACACACTAGGGAGAGATATATTTTAGAGTGTTAAATATGGCTCTTTTACATCACAAATCTGCTGAATGTAGCATGGCAGAGTTGGATTTGTTTTCGGCTCCCATGACGCAGCTTTCTATAGATGAAAAACACTACACAGAGGTCCTCCCGTTGTCTGCCATTACAGAGGATGGACCCATTGAATTTTTCATTCCAGGGGACGGGGATAAATACCTTGATATGAACGACACACTGATGCATCTCAGGGTCAAAATAACCAACGCCGATGGGACTAATCTGGCAGTCGATGCTCCCGTGGCACTTGTTAATTATCCTCTAAACACAATTTTTAGTCAATGTGACGTTATTCTAGGGGATAGGCTGATTTCTCAGTCCAGTTCGACACATCCTTACAGAGCGATGATTGAAACTTTATTGAATTACTCTGATTCTACTTTAAAAACTCAATTCACTGCCGGCTTATTTTATAAAGACACTGCAGGAGCTATGGACTCTGTAGTGATCGCCAATGGGCCAAACAAGGGTCTCGTAAAGAGAGCGGTGTTCACCGCAGAGTCCCGAGAGCTGCATCTGATGGGGGCTTTGCATACCGATATATTTTTCAGCGAGAGGCTTCTCCTGAACTCTGTAGATTTGAGAATCAAACTCACCAGATCTAACGATGCCTTTACTCTCATGTGTGCAAATGACTCCACATACCGTCTAAAAATACTGGGGGCCTCGCTTTTTATCAAGAAAGCGACCATTGCCCCCGCCGTGCGTTTAGGTCATGCTGCTGCGCTGATGAGAGGCAACGCTCTCTACCCACTATCTCGTGTAAATATCAAAACATACAGCATACCTGTGAATTCCAGAATATGCAATCAAGAAAATCTCTTTCTGGGTAATATGCCTAAATACATAGTTTTGGGTATGGTAAATCACGAAGCGTTCACAGGAAGGAGAACGCTTTCACCTTTTAATTTCCTTCATAATGATATGGAATATCTGGCTTTGTGTCAGGATGGCAGACAAGTACCGGCCAAAGCATTCCAACCTCAATTTAACCGAGGGTCTTCAGTCCGAGAGTTTTACAATATGTTCACTGCTACAGGGAGACACATGAAAGATCTCCCTCTGAGTATTGACCGAGAGGACTTTGAACAAGGATATTCCTTATTCGTATTTAATCTCACTGCAGGGGAGGATGCTGACGCATTATCACCAATCACCAGCGGTAGTTTAAGACTGGAAATGAGATTCCGAGTACCGCTGCCCCAGACTACAACTTTAATCGTATATTCTTGTTTTGATTCAATTCTGGAGATTAATTCAAAACGTCAAGTGCTGGTAGACTATTACTAAGAAAAATATTACAAAATGAATAATCATCAATTGGACAGTCTCCTGCGACATATGGTGGGGGACTCGTTTGGGGGTGTATGGGCGTCAGATCAGCTACCCCAAGTAAAACAATTATTCAGATACCCTGTATACATGATTGTAAATACCCACCCCTCCCACATGCCAGGGGAACACTGGCTAGCAATGACTTTAGAAGGAGACAATGTGGGGACTTTTTTCGACTCTTTCGGATTTCCCCCCAATTTTAGTCATTATCCTAAAAGCATTCTACAATTTCTAGAAAAACAATGTAAAACTATATTACACCATAATCATCAGCTTCAAAATGTCCTGTCTACAGCCTGTGGTCAGCATTGTGTTTTCTACCTATGTAAAAGAGCGTCGGGGTTGTCTTACGAAGATGTGTTATCTCTGTATCAAGATGATGTGATAAAAAATGATGCTACTGTAACAAATTTTGTGAAAAAATATCAACGGTGTGAGAGACGTCATAAAGACACTCATTTTAACCACAGTGTTTGTTCTCTACAAATGTTTAAAGATTGTTACAAAATGTAATTCATTGACAATTTAAAATAAAAAAGGTCTGGAGACAAAATTAATTCAAATGACTCTGTCTTTATTAAAGGGAATAATTTAACCAACGAGGGCTTAACTGTACAGCTCTCCTTGATCTCTTCTTTACTGCAGTCGAAGGAGGGTCTAATTTACTTTCTTCTTCTTCTTCATGGTCTTTTCCTCCTCTTCTTCTTCTTTTTGTCTTATGCTCTACAGTCTTATGCTCTCCATGCAGTTCACCTGTTTTAAGTAAACTGTATTGTTCACGAGCCTGGCGGTTATGAAAAACGGTCGACGGAACATTTAGCCCTCTGAGAGTATTCAGGAAAACCGTCCAGCCTTTAGGTTCTTCTGTATTTTTATATGACCACGAGAGATTTTTTAATAAATCCATCATATGGGATCCTTTCACAGCTCTACCCTTATCTATAAATTCACCCGTTTCATTCCATCCACCGCTGCTTTGGACTAGTTTATTCATAATGTACTCTGCATTCTTACGGTAACGTTTTGGAAGATTCTGGAGTACCTCATTCTTTATGCCATCAGTGGAAATACCCTTCTTTTCTTCTCCTTTTTGCAGTCCCGTGTCTTCAGGTAGATTTAAAGTATTATGTCTTTCCTCCTGCCCCGCTTGTTTGAGTAAATTGAGGTATCTCTGCAGCAAGGCGTTGTATTTTCTTATTTTTTCATATGGGGTTATTCCTGTTTCGTTTAGTACGGCTCTCATTTTTTCATCCAGAACATCTTCTGCTGTACGTCTCATTGTTTCCTTGCTGTGGGGGGTAGTTACACCAGTCGGATTGAGCTGATTAAACTGGTGAGGTGTTAATAAAAACATCTTTTGACTCATGGTTTACTTTGGTCGAATAAGCCCTCCTAAAAGCTGTCCTAAAATGGGAATCACAGCACCTAGCAGAGGCAGAAGGAAACCCCCAGATTGTTTTCTTAAGGCCTTGTGTTTAGTTTTTATGTTGGTCTTTTTACTGGCCAATAGTTTGATAATTTTCTTTTGTTTTTTGAGTTTCTTATACTGAGCACCAGATAGCGGTATGTTCCCCTTTAAGAGATTTAAAGACAGTTCACAGAGTGATTGAAGAAAATCCGTGGAGCAGTTGTTGAGAATATCCTTACGCTTCGAAGGCCTGGCCTGACATAATGCCTTTAGCAGTGGCATGTTTCTTTTTAAACGAGCAGACATACTGTTTTCAAGTTTTCGGTTTTGGTACGTAAACAACTAGCCACTGTGTACGTAGTACTCCTGACCGAAGTCTATAGATGTCTGGACAGCTAGGGGTCAGGTCCAGGACTAAATATCCATGGGGGTCCTTGGTGGCATCCTCAAAACTTTGTAGGAAAAATGATTTATTACCAGGGTATATTTGCTGTGCAAGTATATTCATCTGTAATCTGTCTCTGGGGTTTTTAAACAAGACCATGTAATTAGTATTCAGACTAATTGTTCGACTATTCTTCCCCTGATGAAACACATTTTGGGTGAGCATCATAACACTCATATTTCTGTGATGGCGGTATTGGGTGAAAAGTCGGACTACTTCCGGATGCTCCGAGGCTTGAAATATAACATCGTCCAGTATAATCAAATGACTTTGATCAGGAGGAAATAGAGATTCATCTTCAAATGATTCAGGCAGACCTTTGATGAATTTCATATTTTTATTCTGTTCCTGCAGTTCTGCGTACATGGGCTGGAATGAAGTATAAATCCATACAATATTTTGAGGCTGTACATCCATTACATGAATACAATTTTGCAATACATTCTTGACAAAAAAAGTTTTTCCACACCCGCTGGGTCCTACTATTATACATGAAAAAGGGACACGCAGTCTGGGTTCAAAATCAATTTGGCTAGGTGAAAACATTTTGTCTCTTCTTATTATTTCTCAATACCCAAAAGGCAAAGTATCTCCTCCGTCTAACAGACGTCTTTTATCAAACACCACTCTGAACTTTTTGGTGAATGACACATTTCTCAAAACGAAACCCTCTTTATTTCGTACAATGTTGTGTTGTGGGACCTCGAGAACCCGCCCCCTCTCAGTGTTTTGAACGTAGCCTTCCACCAGCTCTGTAAGACTGTCAAAGTTCACCCGTTCACAGCACTCATGCGTCTGTGTAATCCCTTTCACTCGCATTACAACCTTTTTCTGATTTTTGGTTTGGTATGCATAACTTTTAGGACCTGCAGAAACAAACTCTTTGATTGTATCACCGCCCAGCTCGTCTGTAAGATCCCCCAGATAAACCCCCATCGGAAGTGGAGTCTCTCCAGGTCTTGTTACATATATGATACTATCTGTGTCGTAGTAGAAGACTCTGTGCTGCAATTTCTCCAATTCGCTGTACAGTTTTAGCCTGGCATAGGCCGTGGTGAATGCTGCAATGAATATGTTATCCACCTTGTTGGGAGGGGAGTGACCATCGTCGTCATAACACCATTGGACCAGAGCTGTCCTGTCATTGGTGAATGAGAAATACTTAACCTTATGTTTAGCTGAAAACAAGAGGTTAAGAAATTCTTCTGGTTTGGTCACAATCTTAGTCTGTGTCAGATTGCTTCTCTGAGCAAATTTACCCCAGAAACTGTTGAGACATAGCTTTGACACTTGTCTTTTGGCTGGGTTTGATGTGATTTTAGCTGCGTCGAGCTGTATGCCTTGATTAGCATGGTAGTCTGTCACATACTTTTGTCTGCTCTCATCATCTGTTGCTTCTGAAGGATAACCAGATGCTTCTTGTTTACCCTTCAAGAATGTGTGTATATAATCTACAAAAATGCTGTCACTTTTGTTCTCAAAATGCCACACCTCTGTGATCTGAGTCAGCTTGTAACCCATGTCCAGAGCCTTGTTGAATTCTGTTGTCACCCATACTCCTGTTAATGCTCTTTCCTCTTTGCTGTGCGTGCAGGGCCCCTGTTGGTTGTTAAGCTCAGCGCATGTACGACAGAGGGTGAACACAAGTTTACCCGCTGCAGTTTTGTAAGGCAGAACTGGAAAGTAAAGACCCCTGGGAGGTTCTACGGTAGCTCTGATTAACCCGAAATAACTCTGAGGATCTTTGAAATCTCGGAAGATGATCTGAGGGTGGCCTAGCGGGTAGAGGCCTGTGCAGTTTACAAAGGGGTACAGGGAGGTGAAATCACAATAATGAATCAATTCATCTGCCGCTGCCGTGTACCTCAACTTCACTGCACACGTTCTTCCCCCGTATAAAGCAGCCCTGGGGGTCAACGGTTCTGGAGCTTTGTAATCCCTGAGGAAAGCCTGCAAATCTTGATTGGATTTTTTCATCTCACCCCATGTATGCTCTCGCATAACGATCACTTTGGCCCCGTGAACAGACTGTAGCTCATGCAGCTTTTCCTCACTAGCTGCATGGAGCCGTTCAAATGTGCCACCTGTCAGGGGGTTTTTCTCATGCCCCTTATAACACGACGGACAGCCGTGATAAAAGCACCCAAGAAATTCCCAGACAATCTTTACTCCCTCAACTTCAGCAAAACCATCTACGACGAAACGTCCCACTCGTTTCTCACCTTCATTCAACGCATGTTGAATAAATACCCCCTCAGTATGAGCCACCCAATCTAACCACTGGATACCAGCGCTGGAGTATGTCTTGTTTTCACGACGGTAATCATCGGGCGGGGGGATGGCTAGGGTTTTTGGAGGCAGAAAGTTTGTGGTGAAAACTTTCATACAGGCCGAAGCAATGGTCGCACGACTAAAAGGATCTACACCAGTCTCTTCAAGGAATCCTTTTCGGAATAAAGTGCAGCCCTGTACAAGAATGTCGACATCGTTTTTACAGTAAAGCAATGCCTGCTTTCGAAAATCAAAAGTACCCGTGCGTACCGTCTCATACCATGCGAAAAAGTCACTCTTTTCATCAGTTGTCATGCGTTCAATCCCATAACAGTGTGCTGGTGGGTAAGGTCCGATATAACTCAGATTGGCCTTAGAGCTGAAACCGTGAGGGAAATACCCCTTGGTTTTATCTTCGAACCCCAAAGCTTTGGGCATTGCAGCCAACCGCATAGAGAGGTAAGACAGAGAATCTATGTACTTTTGTCTGAAATCTTGGTCAGTAAAATAAATCACTTTACTTCCCTGCATTACCAAAGATGGTTTTAACCCTTGTTCAATCATTGCATTGATAATGAGATAGCTGTCAAAACCCTTGGCATTGTGAGCAATGAAGTTTGCATTCTTGAATTTAGGGAGTCTAAAGTGGGCCAGAAACTGCAGTGCACAGTCGGTGCCCTCAGCGACCCAAGTTTCGCCTGCCAGGGTTTTTGTACACACCAGGAAGGGGACATGTACACCGTCTGCCCCCGCCATTGTTTCAAAATCATAAAACACGATGTGGTCGTTGTGCTCTGTCTCTTGGGGTAACACACCAATGTAACACAGATGTTCTACACACTCGCCTGTTGAAGCAGAGGGCAGCTTTTCGTTACATATCTTACATTTTTTCACCATACACTTGTGTGTTTTATCTGCACTACTCTTGGGAATGTAGTAAGAAAGTTGACAATCTACACACTTTTTGTGTAAATCGCAGTTACTGGCAATGGCTGATGCTCTCTGTGTCTGTTTTTTATGTCGAGCATGACAGCCGACCGTACGGCAAGTTTTGTTACAGTCTTTACAAAAGATGGGTTTAAACTCATCCAGAGTACATGAGGGGTCAAGACAGACAAAACAATGGCCTTTACATGAATGAAACCATCGTGAGTTGTAGCCGGTGTAGCAGTGTTCACAGACAAAGGAGGCGCCTAGAAAACCCTTCAAGTTCTTAATCCCATAGTAATGGTTTTCGAGGAGAAATAAAAACACAGTTTTATCTCTTTTGGGACCGTCTGTCTGGAATTTACAGAGGGTCCGATCTCCATCGCCTCTGTAAAAAACCACAATCTTGCATTTTAAACTCTCTTCGAATTTCTCAATGTCAGTGAATGTCACCGCTGTCTGGTCTGTCAAACCCACCCCCCTCTGAATCTCTCTACCGCGTTCAAAACCTTCGTTATCAGTGAGGTTGTCATGCAGCAACAGTGCTAAATTAATAGCAAAACACAGCTGGTTGACGGGGTTGTGAACAATGTAAAGAAAACGCTTCTTCTTTTTAACAATTTCATTGTCCAACATTTTACCAGCCAATCGTTTCTCCCCACCACCCCGAGGGGATTGAACAATTTGCACCACTAATTCAAGATCGCTATCTGCCATTACAGCCCAATTTGACTGCACTGCGTTGAAGAGCGCTTCATCAAAATCATTCAGATTACTGTCGTGGTTGGCATTCAAAATGGCTGACACGTTACCTTGCAGTTGCTCCCCCCTTAACTCAATCTGTACAAGATCTTCCCTATTTGTTAGTAAAAAAGCCTCATCCAGCATCTCATGTACACTGGCCATCATACTAACGTGATACGATGTGTAATCTGCCTCGGCGCTAGGACGGGGTAGGACTAAAGACTGACTCAGTTCTATGTTATTGAATACAGGTCGAGACACAACACGTGTTGAAGCATTCCGACTGTCATTAGCATTTCCACCATTTTGTAACGACGGGCCTGCTACCTCGGGAGCATTCGGGATGCTGTTTTGATCATTGTGTACACCGTTTTGCACGGGGGACACTGCTGCTTCTGAAGCATCCATACTGTCATCGTCGATAATGTATCCACCGGTTTGCACAGAGGAAACTGATGCTTCTGAAACATCCATACTGTCGTCAATGTACCCGCCATCTTCCACAGAGGAAGCTGCTGATTCAGCATTAACGGGGGCCTCGCTAACATTATTTGACACACGGACTTCGTCTGCGAGCTGATTTAAATGCACCAGACCAGGATATGCGTCAGAGTTTTGGTAGCAATCTAACACCCATTCCAGAATGCCATCAAATGTTATTGGATAGCTAGAGTTTGTTTCTGAGGGGTTGGTAGGTTCGTTTACAACTAGCTCGTCATAACTTAGATCGTTAATATTGTCTGAACACTGAGGAAATGACATTTCATCATACGTATAATCATCATCGCTTAGGCCACTTATATTATTCAAACATTGATTAAATGACGTTTCTCTATCTGTTGAATCATATATAACGTCTGCTTCATCGTTAGGAGGAGTTAGAACTGAAGACAGAGGTACTTTGTCTGCGTGCTGATTTAAAACCACAAGGTCTGCTTCATAGTTTTGCTGGCTGTCTAAAACTACCTCCAGTGCGCTATCTAATGTTGGTGGATAGCATGAGTTTGTTTCCGAGGGGGAGGAATGGTCGTTTACATCTAGTTCTTCGTCATTCAATTCGCTAATATTGTTTGAACACTGAGGAAATGACATTTCACTATATATGTATTCATTTTCGCTTAGGGGGATTATATCATTCAAACAATGCAGAAACGACGTTTCTGTAGCTGCTAAATCACCCATGTTTGACCGTTTATGAAATCATCCCATCACAAGAAAATAGAAAGGAAATCAAAAATACATTTCTCACTGCTGAAGAAAACCACACCGCTATCAAACGCCTCCAGCTTATTCAGTTGGTGTAACCATAAAGTTGACGGTCGCAGCGCTGTGCTCGCGAGGCAGATCTGTACAGAAAAGAGACAGAGAGGTAAAAAAGAGGGGGTAAGTATTTGAAACACTGAAATATTATATTTAACAACAAATCATTTAGCGATCATCTTATAAAAATAACCACAAGTAATTTACCTGTATGGCACCTCGTTTGGAGTGTGTTTGGGATGGGGTCATCCAGAGCTGTTCTAGGCCACACTGAGAAGCTCAAAAATATGCCTGGCGCTCAGACTGCAGTGGTGTTGGGGGTCGCCTCGAACGTGGCGTGACAGAGGTAGAGGGATGCTCCTATCTGGGACTGGGGACACCCTCGATTTCACACGTCAGAGATCTCTCCCCCCGTTGTTTTACCGATGAATGGCTTATGCTGTAGATTCCATTACCTTGTAGCAAAAGAGCAGGTATATAAAACGTTACTATGGACAATTTATACATCAGGTAAAAAATGAATAAAAACCATATTTTGATTTTAATTTAAATAAGCCAAAACACACACACACACACACACACACACACACACACACACACACACACACACACACACACACACACACACACACAATACATTGACTTACATGCATTTCCTGGAGACTTATTATAACCTTAGTCAAAAACCAAAACACATGCCTAACCCTTAAAACCTAAAACCAGGCCATGTCTTCACCCCAAAATTAATGATTGGATAATTACATGATATTATAAAATATAAAAGTACTTACCAGTGCTTTTTTCCAGATCAGATCCAAATCAGGTCTCATTCTCTCCAGAAGGTCATGCGGTCTGTTCTTGTGAAAATGTGCTCACCTTAAATAGCTGTATTGCAAATAAGCATGTCAATAGGCCCCAGAAAAAGTGGGGAACCAATCGGAATGGTATTATTAATTTAACATGTGTTGTCTGTCAGTGATTTCTTAAAACTCTCAAGTCTGTGCATTCTTAAGTGTTTTTTACAGCTAACCTCTGTGTTGATCAGACCTTAAGGAGCCGATTCATAATGAAATAGCAGGACCTTTTAAAAAATCTTCTCTTTCCTCCATACCTGCAGCTACTTCTAATCTCATATAACTTCATATAAGGATTATTTTATTAATGGGTGATGTAATTAAACATAAAGAAAAAAACCAAAATACCCCAGGATCATTAAGATCTTTAATTTATTGCCAACCTCTTCAGAGAGACTTTGTTACATTTAATACCAGATTACCCCTCTTTTCAATAAGAGAGGTCCCTAAAGTTAGTATAGTAATTAAACATTAGTTCACCATCCATACAATTCAAAACAACATCCTTAGTTATTAACCCCTCTCATATTTAAAAAAAGATGGTCTGTGTGTGTGTGTGTGTGTGTGTGTGTGTGTGTGTGTGTGTGTGTGTGTGTGTGTGTGTGTGTGTGTGTGTGTGTGTGTGTGTGTGTGTGTGTGTGTGTGTGTGTGTGGGGGGGGGTGAAATGGATGGAGCCATCCTGGGTCACACCTCCAGGTCTATGCATTCTTAAGTGTTTTTTACAGCTAACATCTGTGGTGAGCACATTTAAAAAATAAAAAATAAATCTTCTCTTTCCTCCAAACCTACAGCTACTTCTAATCTCATATAACTTCATATAAGGATTATTTTATTAAGGGGTGATGTAATTAAACATAAAGAAAAAACCAAAATACCCCAGGGTCATTAAGATCTTTAATTTATTGCCAACCTCTTCAGAGAGACTTTGCTGCATTTATTACCAGATTACCCCTCCTTTCTATAAGAGAGGCCCTTATAGTTAGTATAGTAATTAAACATTAGTTCACCATCCGTACACTTCAAGAGAGCCTCCTTAGTTATTAACCCAACTCGTATTTAAAATAAAAAAAAGGCTGGGTAGGAGGGGAATACGGGTATGTGTGTGTGTGTGTGTGTGTGTGTGTGTGTGTGTGTGTGTGTGTGTGTGTGTGTGTGTGTGTGTGTGTGTGTGTGTGTGTGTGTGTGTGTGTGGAGGGAAATCTCTCAGAATGATATCCCCTTTAGCGCAATACAGCATCAGCTACACCACTTATGTGACATACAAGAATAGTGTGTGACAGACAAAAGATGTCCTGTATGGGCTGATTGCGCATGGACATAAACGCTAGTAAAGTCTAATCTGACGGGGGAGACCCGCTGTTGCTGACGGGGGGAGATCCGATGCTGCGGACTATTCGACATGCATCTCTGCATGCGGTGAGCGGAACAAAACACACTCTTCATATATCACACGTAGCTATTTTATTTACCTCTCAAACTACCTAAACTATTTATAGATATGTTTTAGTTTTACTGTCGCGTCACTCATTATTGGACCCGCGACTTTGATACTGTCGTGTTGTCAGGAGGGGGAGAGCAGTCCGTTTATTATTCCCGTGTTATTGTAAATTACTGTACACGTTTTTGAATAGTTAATTAATCTACTATAATTAGTTGGTTTAATATCGAATCATATCAGTTTGTTTCAAAGCTCATTAAATAACATAGAAGACCTTTAACCGGCACTTTTCTAATTCTGCCCCGGAAGATTTAAACTGTAACGAACATGCCGACCGGACAGGAGGGGGGAGGAGGAGGGGGTTGAGAGGGGTGGGGGCTGAGCGGGGTGGGGGGCTACCTGAGAGGATGTAGCACCTGTATGTGAGGGGGAGGGGGTGGGCTGAGGGGGGTGGGGGGGTACCGGGGAGGATGTCACACCTGTACGCGATAACACCTCGAACAAAGGGCTCATTAGCATATCAAAGGGGGGTCATTAACATAATTAGGGGGCGGGACTTAGAAGGTGTGACCTGTCACTTTTTTATGCATACTAATGAGATTGAAGCGGGATTGGTAACACTACTGATGTCTTTTGAAGTTGTATATGTAGGTAATAATACTTTATAGACCCTTTGTTCTTGCGATATAATATGGTTTTATGACATATAAGGATGCCTTTTGAAGTTGTATAGGAGGGTTATAATATTGTATTGACCCTTTGTTCTTGTGATAATATATGGTTTAAAGGGGTATTCTTAGATGGTTTCTTAAAAAACACATTTTTGACAACAAAACTTTACATCTGGTAGAATATTTAGTACTTTGTAAGGAATGTGATTTCCTTAACCTGTTAACCTGTTAAGCCCGAGAGCCCCCGCCCGCGAAACTGTGTCTCAGGGCTTCTTAACATTTAAAAACCTATGAATGTGTCATACCCACCTAACGGGAAGAAACTCAGCTAACTGACGATACGAACCATTTTTACCGAAACAAAACACAAGTCTCACAAGAAGCGTCTAAATAATAATAATAATAATAATACATTACATTTATAAAGCGCTTTTCCTGGTGGTCAAAGCGCTTACAAGCAAGTAAAATAAAAATAACAACAAAAGTAGAAAGTGCTAAGCTAGGTGGAATAAGGGCAAGGGGTTAGTTGATAGGAGTTGAAGGCAAGAGTGAAAAGGTGAGTTTTGAGGGATTGTTTGAATGATGTGAGAGTGTTGGCAGATCTGACGTGGCTGGGGAGGGGGTTCCAGAGTGGGGGGGGGGGGGGGGGTCTGCAGCGAAGGCCCTGTCACCCCAGGTCCGGAGCTTTGTCCTGATGGGCTGCAGTAGGTTAGCTTCAGCAGACCTGAGGCGACGGGTGGGGGTGTGTCGTTGGATGAGGTCACAGAGGTGGGGGGGGGTGGGGGGGGGGGGCAAGGTTGTTGAGGGCTTTGAAAGTGAAAAGTAATATTTTAAAGTCAATGCGGTGTTTGATGGGGAGCCAGTGGAGGTCATGGAGGATAGGGGTGATGTGGTCGGAGCGTCGGGTGGAGGTGAGCAAGCGGGCAGCTGAATTTTGGACATATTGAAGTTTTGTTAGTATGAATGCAGGTGATCCAAAAAGTATGCTGTTGCAGTAATCCAGTCGGGATGTTATAAAGGCATGGATGGGTCTGATGCGGGCGATGTTCTTTAAATGGAAGAAAGCGTTTTTTGTGACCTGGTTGGAAAGTGAGGGTGGGGTCGAGGATGATGCCAAGGGTACGGATGTGAGTGGAGGGGTTGACAATGGAGCCATCGATGGTAAGATAAAAATCTTGGGTTGAGCGGGTAAGTGAGTTTGGGCCAATGATTATAAGTTCCGATTTGTCACAGTTAAGTTTTCGAAAATTGTTTTGGATCCAAATTTTAATGTCAGTGAGGCAGGTGCTGAGCTGGGAGTGTGTGGTTGGAGAAATTGATTTTGTTGAGAGGTAGAGCTGTGTGTCATCAGCATAACAGTGGAACTGGAGTTGGTGCTGATGGAGGATTTGTCCAATTGGGAGGATGTAGATGATGAACAGAAGGGGACCAAGTACAGAACCCTGAGGGACGCCATGATTGACGGGGGCTGTGGGGGATTTGGAGTTGTTAATGGAGATGAATTGATGTCTGTCAGAGAGATAGGATTTAAACCAGGAGAGGGCAGTACCGGTAATGCCAATGGAAGACTGGAGGCGGTTGATGAGGATGGAATGGCTGATCGTGTCAAATGCGGCTGTTAGGTCAAGGAGAATGAGAATTGAGCGGGAACCAGAGTCAGCAGAGAGGAGAATGTCGTTGGTCACCTTGAGTAGGGCAGATTCTGTGCTGTGGCGAGTACAGAAACCAGATTGAAAAGGTTCATGAAGGTTATTGCAGTCCAGATGGGATTTTAGTTGGGAGGCAACAGTTTGCTCCAGAATTGTTGACAGGAATGGGAGGTTAGAGATGGGCCGGTAGTTATTGAGAGAATCAGGGTTGAGACCAGGTTTTTTGAGTATGGGAGTGACAGCAGCGAGTTTCAGAGCAAGGGGGACAAGTCCAGTGGACAGAGAGGAGTTAATGACTGTGGTGATAAGATGAGTGAGTTGGGGGAGGCAGGCCTTGACAAGGGTGGAGGGCATGGGGTCCAGGATGGAAGTTGAGGTATTCATGCCGGTGACTTGGGCAACTATGTCCAGTGAGGTAATTTGTCTGAAGGCTGTAAAAGGGTGCCTGGAAGGAGTAGGGTAGGTTCCAGAAAAGCATGGGTGGTGGACGAGACGGAGGAGTTGGCTGTGTTGCTGTGTATTATTTCAATTTTGCTTTGGAGGAATGAGAGGAAGGATTCACACTTTGAGGTGGTGAAGGAGTTGGAGATATTATCCATGGGGTTGAGGAGCTTGTTAATAGTTGAAAAAAAGGGACTTTGGGTTATTGCTGCCAGATTGTATTACAGAGGAGTAGTGGAAGGAGCGTGCACTGTTGAGGGCATCTTTGTACTGCTGTTGGTGCAGTCTATAAATGTCTTTGTGGATAGTGAGACCAGTTCGTTTAGCATGTCTTTCGAGCTGGCGACCTTTCCTTTTGAGGCAACGGAGATGATCGGTGTACCAGGGGGCCGAGTGAGTGAAAGAGACATACTTGGTTTTATTGGAGCGAGTTGGTTGAGACAGGAGGAGAGAGCATTGTTGTAGGTGTTGACCAGGTCAGTAGGGGAAACATTCTGGGTGACGGTGGAGTGAGGGATGGTGTCAGCCAGTAGGGAGACAGCTAAGAAACTGTTCGTGAAAAAAACATTTTTAGATCGTCTGGGCAAAGAGAAAGGTACTTCAACGCAGAATGGTACAAAAACAGAGAGTGGTTAATTATTTGCAAAACCACTAAACGGGCCTTCTGTGAAATATGCAGATTTGCTGCTGTCAAACGGCTTGTAACTTTCTCAAAATGTGGAGATGATAGCTTTGTTAATACCGGAGTTAATAACTGGAAAAAGTGCCCAAAGCCTCCATGAACAGTTGTCTCTGACTGTACGATGGGTATCAGCTGATTATGTTGTCCATGAAGACTTCATAGGAATGTATGACTGTCCCAAGACTGACGCAGAATCAATAACCCACTGATAAACTGCGATGTTAACAACCTCATGATAACCTCATATGTTTTTAACTTAGGATCATAGGCTACCTGTGTTTAGTCTAGAAAAAGGTAAATGTGTGCATTTTATTATAAAGTTGTGTATATTTACAGACTGTTGCAAAAACTAAGAAGCTTATAAACATCAGGTTTAAAACTAAAAGAGCTTTACAAAAAAGTAACACAATTAAAGATGTTTGGAGTTTTATTTGAGTTATTAATTTACATTTTTTGTCAAAGAGATGCTGATTTGAAACCGTTGTTACATACAGTTACGGCATTTCCTGTTTCTGCCGGAGAGAGGGGAGTTTGTCCCAAAGCTTGCCGCTGTATTTACTCCCTCCATCTGACAGGAGGGAGCCTCATGTGTCACTCCACGGAGTTCACTCCGTCACGGAGGGGGAGTGTGTAGGGCGTGGTTTGGGATTGGGCCATACACACGCACTTTTTTGGCCCCCCCACTTCTAAAGTGAATCCGGCGCGCCTGGCTGTCAGCATCAGCTGTGGGCTTGGCTTGCTGTTTAAAACACCTTTTTTTTATCCATATCTCTCGCTAGAATCTCCCACCATCCAACTAACAACAACAACGTCAAGCCTTTGGGCTCTGAAACTACGGGGCGGGCCGAGGACAAATATACATGCGTTAATCGCACGTTAAAATAATTTGTGTGGTTATTAACGTGTTAACTTGACAGCCCTAGTTGAAATAGTCAATTACTAGCCATATCTTATGTGGATGACAGTTGAACTGGATGATGTAACATTTATGCCATCTGCTGGAAAGAAGACGTATCGTTCTGTTGGCGTCGTTTGGACAACAAAAACAGAGTAAAGCTTTCATTTCATAAACAATCTTTGAGTACAGACACTGTCCTGCAGAGAGCACACAACCCAACAGCACGTTTTTGGTCTAGCATCACTTTACAAAACGTTTGCATTAAGACACTAATGCACTTCCACCATGGCGCGGAGCGCGGTTTAAGCGTGCCCTGTCGTGCCGGGCCCGTTTTTGGTTGCGCTTCCACTAGGCCTAGTTCCGGCCCGGGGCTACTTTTTCACCTCTTTTCTGGCCCGACCAAATCGTGGTTCTATCGGGGCCAACAAACAGGGCTGAGTCGGGCTGAGTTTGCTAAACTAGAGAGAGAATCGCTGGCAAGGGGGCTACAACAAGATGAACATATTTGACCGTGATTTAATTGTAATACACGTTTCAAAATGATGCCAAAGTAACAACATACTGATACCGGTTAGTAAAAACCATGAATTAATGCTTTGACAAGTCTGCAGACAGACGGCAGGCGAAACACCTTTTAAAATGCGTGTTTTCTAGATGGAGATTGGCTAAGCCAACGCAATATATGCTCCGACCGTCCACACTCACAACAACGGCCTATACAGACATAAATAAACCAGCGACTGTATTCGCCATGACAGACAGTCTGTGGTTTGTACTTGTTTAACTTTTGTCTAGTTTCTGAACAGATATGAGGAGCTGTGAGCTTGAGTGCTAACAGCTAACGGCTGTGTTGTTTTTCTGGGGTTCTCATTGAAGATGATGTCACGGCTCCGCCTACACTGCGTTACTATAGTAACTACCCCAGTTCCTAAACTGTAATGGAAGCGCAGCATGAAGTGAGCCGGCCCTAACAAGGCCCAACGCGGCCTAGCAGTACCGAGCGAGGCCGAGGCCGACCGTGTGGTGGAAATGCGCCATAAGACTAGCTGGTCCATTGTAAAGGTCAGTCCACCTTAAATGAGCAGTGGGTGATCAGCAGGTGAAAGGCAGGAAACGGGAACTTGGTCCTGAGGACATGTAACGATTATTAAACAAGAAATAGTCGAGTCAAGGGGTCAAAGAAATTAACATTTGTGATTATTAGCGAATCGGTTGCAGGTGGGTGAAATCAGGCTTAGAGAGTAACGTATTACATGTAACGGCATTAGGTCATCAGGATACAAAATAGGCAAATGTATTCCCTTTAGGGCTGCACGATATTGGAAAAAACTGACATTACAATATTTTTTTCCTCTGCGATATATATTGCGATATGAAAAAATACAGGAATTGAAGAAAAGACAGTTTTTTTTTGTCCGCAAGCTATCCTTTTTTGAACTTTCATGCTATACAATTGGTCTTTTTTTAACGATATTTAACCGGATGAAGGATTTTAGTCACAGACTTCTGGATCTTAAGTTATCAGAGCAACAAGCTGAGCTAGCTCGGTTATCCTGCTGTGATCTGATCAAGAATGATTGTGATTGGTGGTTTGCTGTGCATGCAGAGCCTGCATGTCACTTACTCAAGTACCCCTGACATGAGAGCCGCGCGAGTTTTCCTTTTGTAACAAGCAGCAAAATAATTGTAATATGACGTGTTTGAGTTAATTTGCCGACTTATTATCGAACGTCCTAAAAAAGAAATTAAATTAAATAAAAATCGTCCTGCATGCGCATAACGTGATTATCCTCACGACACGATATATCGTGCAGCCCTACTTCCCTTACAGTTACAGAGGCAAAAACAATCAGATAACAGGTACATTTATGTAAAACAGGGCTCATTAACAGGATAGCAATGATACCAAACATTTAGAAATAAAGAACAATACATCAAATCATCCTATATCTCTATATGGAAACTTGGAGCCCTCAATCCAAAATAAAATGGTTCATCAACAGTCAGTGGTTAATGTATGAATCAGAAAATCAGTATGACAAAAACATTAAACATATTGTCCACTTATGTTGATAAAGATGGAGTTCACTTAAGTATTTTATGAATGTTGTGCGACAATGTTAATCCAGTCAGACAGATTTTTCTCATGTGTGAACTGTCTTAAAGGGCCCATGTCATGCTTTTCCGGTTATTACCCGTCCCCTTGTGTGTTATGAAGGTTTTTATGCATGTAAACGGTCTGCAGAGTCAAAAACCCTCAAAGTACACCCTGTAGGGAGTAAAACTCTAACACAGAAAATACCTCCCCAAAACGCCTCGTTGGAGATTTCTCATGTTCTTCCTGGGCATCGTGACGTCTGGATACCCAGTAGCCACGCCCAGAGCTATGACGCACCCTCTGCCAGCCAAGCATATATACTGTTGGAATCTCAGGTTCAGTTCAAAACAGTGCTAACTGGGCTAACGAAGTTGCTAGCGTTTACATATATCAACTACAATGTCAGCAGATGGCCTTACATGTTTCTCATAGCAGGAGAATGTCTGCCTTCACACACAAAATACTCATAGACAGTATACTCCGGGTGATTTACCCTACGGTCAGTACATTATAGTTGGCGTTCCTAACCGAGCTACCGTTCAGGGCAGAGAGTGAATACCGGTGAATACACATACTTTACAGAGATGCTGTATGCGAAACCAATTTGAGTTTGGAAAATTGCACAGTATAAATCTATTTTAGTAGACCTCAACAATGGAATTATGATCAGTGGAAATGGCCATGACATGGGCTCTTTAAGACTTATTCATTGTCCTCTCCATCAGCTTCTGTTTCCATGTGTTCAGCTGATTGGAGGCTCTGCCTCTCTGTTATCCTCAGTTTGAATTTCATTAAGCTGTGAGGACTGATGACCAACACACTTGTGTCTTTTGAAATAACCATGCCATTTAAATCTTTTGTCACAAACATTGCAGCTTTATATTTACTCTCCTGTGTGGACTCTCATGTGTGTCTTCAAACCTCTACTCTGTGAAAAACCTTTCTTACAGACTGAGCAGCTGTGTGGTTTCTCTCCTGTGTGGACTCTCATGTGTAGCTTTAAACTTTCACTCTGTGAAAAAGCTTTCTTACAGACTGAGCATCTGTATGGTTTCTCTCCTGTGTGGATTCTCATGTGTTTTTTTAAATTTCGACTCACTGAAAAAGATTTGGTACAAACCAAGCAGCTAAAGGGTTTCTCTCCTGTGTGGATTCTCATGTGTTCCTTTATATGTCCACTCTGTGAAAAAGATTTGGTACAAACCAAGCAGCTAAAGGGTTTCTCTCCTGTGTGGATTCTCATGTGTTCCTTTAAATGTCCACTCTGTGAAAAAGCTTTCTTACAGACTGAGCATCTGTATGGTTTCTCTCCTGTGTGGATTCTCATGTGTTTTTTAAAACTGTCACTAACTGCAAACGATTTGGTACAAACCGAGCAGCTAAAGGGTTTCTCTCCTGTGTGGATTCTCATGTGTTCCTTTAAACCTCCACTCTGTGAAAAAGCTTTCTTACAGACTGAGCATCTGTATGGTTTATCTCCTGTGTGGATTCTCATGTGTTTTTTTAAACTGTTACTAAATGCAAAATATTTGGTACAAAATGAGCAGCTAAAGGGTTTCTCTCCTGTGTGGATTCTCATGTGTTCCTTTAAACCTCCACTCTGTGAAAAAGATTTCTTACAGACTGAGCATCTGTATGGTTTCTCTCCTGTGTGGATTCTCATGTGTTTTTTTAAAGTTTGACTTAATGCAAAATATTTCGTACACACAGAGCAGCCAAATTGTTTCTTTATAGCACTACGGCTTGAATCACTGAGAGATTCTTGTCTATTTTTCAGTGATTTTGAGGCTGAAGCAGATTCTCTGGTCTCCTTCCAATCAGCACTGTCTTCAGTGTCAGGTTCAGAAGAGTCTCCAGTGTCAGGTTCAGAAGAGTCTCCAGTGTCAGGTTCAGAAGAGTTTCCAATGTGAGGTTCAGAAGAGTCTCCAGTGGCATACTCAGTCTTTGGTTGTAAACTGCTCTCTGGATCTGAGTTCCTGGCTGGTTCTGGTCCTCGACAGTCATCTCCATCAGCTTCTGTTTCCATGTGTTCAGTTTGTCTTTGATGAGGCTGTGAGGACTGAGGTTTCTCTTCATCATCTTCACTCTTCACAGGGTCAGGAGTGAAAGTGGACTTGGTGATATCAGCCTCCTCCAGCTCCTGAAGCTGCTCTCTCTCCTGACTGATCCTGAGTTCCTCCTGTTCCTGCTTAATGTGTGGGGGGGGCTCTGGGTCCTCCTGGTCCAGACTGGTGCTCCAATCCTGCTGGTCAGGGAGAACCTCTTCTTTAACCACCACCAGTAGCTGGACGTCTGCAGGTAACAGGAAACACACAGTCAGAAAAAACTGTTAAGTATTAGCAATTCAAAATCTGATCACCATTAAAATGGGAGATATTTTGCAGCCCTAATAATGCCTTTGTTTTTACTTTCATATTATCTTTTAGTCCCACCTATTGTGTATTTTTGTTGTCTCAATTCACCTTCTGTAGCCCAGCCCCTTTCCAGTTCCAGTTTAGCAGTAGCTGCAATGTAAACAAGGAATTGTATTTGGCATTGTTCAGATACACTATGCCTCTAGAATGAAAATACTCCGTTACAAATTAAAATCTTGCATTCAAACCTTATTTAAGTAAACGTTCGCAAGTATTAACAGAAAAATGTACAGCACCTTCTAATGTAAAAGTAATGATACTGCAATGACATTTTCGCGGGGGCAAAACGCAACATCTTGCAAGAAACAGCGTCTGAGGGCTTCTTAACATTTAAAGGTCCCATGTCATTCTTTTCCAGTTATTACCCGTGCCCTTGTGTGTTATGTAGCTTTTTATGCATGTAAACGGTCTGCAGAGTCACAAACCCTCAAAGTACACCCTGTAGCGAGTACAACTCTAACACAGAAAAGGCCTGTCTATGCTGCTCCAGAATGCCTCGTTGGAGATTTCTCTTTTTCTTCCTGGTACCAAGTGACGTAACGACGACCAAAATGGACTCATTGGTCCAAATGGACCAATCCGCGGAGCCGTTATGTTACGTCCGCAGCACAATGGAAGATGTTGAGTTTTTGGATGAAATGAATAGCACATCAAACATGAGAAATGTGATCATGAAACTCCCATTTAAACTTAGGGAAAAGTGGAGAACAACTGCATATGCATACTATGAACACAATAAGACAAGAGCAAAGTTTCCAATATTGGTCGACTTCATTGAAAAGCATGCACACATTGCATCAGACCCCATGTTTGGAGACATACAGGATGTCATGCCAAAAAGGGATATTAAAGTGTACAAATCACCCAGCAATAAGCCAGCTCATGGTTATAAGGGAAGTTGTGTGTTACTGTGACAAGCCCAATAATCAGTGAGGAGCAAAAACCTTTCCAAAACATCAAATCAGACCATAAAGGCATTACTGTTAAGAGGCGCTGTGTATTTTGTGCAGGAGAACACACCTCTGAAACATGTAACATGAACAAAAAATCTCACAATGAAAAGGTTGACTGCTTAAAAGCACAAGGAATTTCAAATCAAATCAAGTTTTATTTATAAAGCACATTTAAAAGCGATTTTTGGTCGAGCCAAAGTGCTGTACATGTAATAAAAACACATTACTACAATCACAATAAAAGACAATAAATTACAACAGATATATATAAAAAATTAAAATAAAACACAAGGAAAAGTCAGGAGTCGTACTCCGCTCTAACTAGAAGGCCAGAGAGAAGAAGTGTGTTTTTAGTGTAGATTTAAAAACCCCTAGGGTCTGGGCCGACCTCACATGGAGGGGCAGAGTGTTCCAGAGCCTAGGGCCAGCTGCTGCGAAGGCTCGGTGCCCTCGGGTTTTAAGCCTGTTCTTGGGCACTACCAGCAGCAGCTGGTCAGCAGACCTTAAAGCTCTGGCTGGGGTGTAGCGCTGGAGGAGTTTGGCTATATAGGCCGGAGCCAGCCCATTTAGTGCTTTAAAAACAAATAAAAGGATTTTAAAATCAATTCTGAACCGAACTGGAAGCCAGTGTAGTGAGGCCAGAATTGGGGTGATGTGGTCACGCTTTTTGTGGCCAGTCAGCAAACGTGCAGCTGCGTTTTCGACCAGCTGCAGGCGTTTAATTGAGGCCTGGTCCATACCCACATACAGAGCGTTGCAATAGTCCAGTCTTGAGGTAACAAAGGCGTTAATAACCCTTTCTAAGTCATTAAAAGATAAATACGACTTGGTTTTGGCCAATAGTCTTATTTTAAAAAAGCAGGATTTGACTACAGTGCTGACCTGCTTGTCGAATTTAAAAGTGCTAGTGAAGGTCACTCCAAGGTACATGACCGAGGGGAGGATGTTTTTTTTGAGAGAGCCCAGAATATCAACCGGAGAGGCTGGAGGTTGGGGTCCAAAAAAGATGACCTCAGTCTTGCTCTCGTTGAGGTTGAGAAAGTTTTTGCTCAGCCAGGATTTTATCTCTGTTAAGCAGTCCATCAACTGCTGTAGTGAGTGTTTGACATTTGCTTTGAGAGGCAGATATATCTGTACATCATCGGCGTAGCAGTGGAAGGGAATATTATGTTTTGTGAGAATTGAACCTAGGGGCAGTATGTACAGTAGAAAAAGGATGGGGCCCAGAATCGAGCCTTGGGGAACCCCACAGGTAAGAGGGGCTTTGGCAGAGGAGAAGGCACCTAGCTGTACCGAGAAGCTACGGTCTGTCAGGTAGGACCTGAACCATGCAAGGGCAGAGCCTGTGATGCCAGCGGACTGTTCAAGCTGTGACAACAGGATGCGATGGTCCACAGTGTCAAAGGCAGCTGTCAGGTCTAACAGCACCAAGACAGCGGAGCTACCTGAGTCGGCGGCTAGGAGCAGATCATTAAAAACTCTTAAAAGGGCTGTTTCAGTACTGTGCATGGGTTTGAAGCCAGACTGAAACTTTTCATGGATTCCATGCATGGTTAAAAAAGACTGCAGCTGGGCGTAGACTACTCGCTCCAGGGCTTTTGATAAAAAAGGTAGAGATTTTTCTTTTTAAGTAGTGGCTTAACCACGGCATGTTTGAAGGCAGCTGGGACACATCCTGAGCTAAGAGAGGTGTTTAAAAGTAATAAAATACTTGCTCCAACTGAATCAAAAACATCTCTGAGAAGGCGAGAGGGAATGATGTCTGAGGTGCAGTTTGTCGGCCGCAGGTGCTTGACTACATCCGAGAGAGAAGAGAGGGATACAGGCTCAAAGTGGTCGAGGACAGCAGGGCACAGAAAAGGAGCAGGATCTGGGGTAGCACTAGTGTGGGCTAGCCTAAGAGCAGATACTTTTTCAATAAAAATGTTTTAAGAAACTTATCACAGAGAGTAGTCGATGGGACAATAGAAGAAACATCACAGGGATTAATGATAGAGTTGAGGACATTAAAAAGAACCTGAGGTTTATGGCTGTTTTTGGAGATTAACAGAGAAATGTGCTCTGTTTTGGCTGCTTTGACTGCCGTCTGGCAGTCAGAAAGGCAAGCACGAAGGATTTCTAGGGAGACATGGAGTTTATCCTTTTTCCATTTTCTCTCTGCACGTCTGCAAGCGCGTCTGAGAGCATGAGTACAGTCATTGAGCCACGGCTCTGATAGAACTTTGGTGCGTCTAAGCGTAAAAGGAGCAACAGAATCCAGTATTAGTGTGCATGTCGAGTCAAACATGGAGATAAGCTCATCAGCATTAAAAGCACAGTTCACATCTAATTTACAGATCGGAGAAGCATTAAAAACATCAGAGAACTGTGAGGCAGTCAAGGGGTTAATCGAACGCAGACGACGCGCAGGGGCACGTGATTCGACTCCTGCGGAAGGGATGGAGGTTGTAAACAGAACCGGTAAATGGTCTGAGATACGCGTTGCTGCACATATTTCATCCACAGATACAGACAGTCCAAACGATAATACTAAGTCCAAAGTGTGTCCTTTTTCGTGTGTTGGGCCAGCCACGGACTAAACAAGACCAAAAGAATCAAGGAGATTTAAAAAGTCCCTAACCAGAGGTTTGGACTCGCAACACACATGGACATTGAAGTCTCCGGAGATCAAAACACGATCATATTTCACCATGATCCCGGACAGAAAGTCAGAAAAGTCACTTATGAAATCCTTATTGCACTTTGGCGGACGATACACGACTGCGCAGAGTATAGGCGAGGCCGGGTTCAGTTCAAAAAGCTGCAACTCAAAGCTAGCATAGCTAGTTACAGGGTGAAGCAATCAGCATTGGAGGCTAGCTCTAAACACTGATGCTATGCCCCCACCATGGCCGGTGGCACGGGGGGAGCTGGAGAATGTACAGTCAGGAGGAAGAAGTTCAGAGAACGGTGTATACTCGCCAGCGTGGACCCAGGTCTCCGTCAGGAACATAAAATCCAGTTCACGAGAGGTGAAGAAGTCGTTTAGCAGGAACGTTTTGTTTGCTATCGACCTAGCATTTAGCAAAGCCATGCAAAGTTCTCAGCTGACGAAGATGTGCGTGTTGAACGCCGCGCGGGCCGGGAGCAGTCAGTCGGGCAGGAGGAGCTGCCAGCGGGCCCAGCAGAGTCCGCAGCTCCGGAAAAACAGGGCGAATCCACCGATCCCTCACATGGCGTGCAGCGGGAGGGCCATGACATCCGAGGCGTGGATAAGTCCCAGGAGAAGCCGTCAGGTATGCCTTAAGATGGACCAGTGCACCACCACGCTTTCCCCGTCGTCTAAAGCGCTTTCGGCGAGGCAGGATGCAGGGCAACCGGCGCAGGTAGGTGGGAATATTCTACAGTAGAGGGGGGGGGGGACGATTTATGGTTGCCAGATGTAGGTTTGGGCAGCAATATCAACTCCAGTGAGGGTCTGAGGTGGAGGAGAGCTTGGCGATCGTAAACGAGCAGAGCAGAGACATTC